CATGTGTGGTAGGGGAAATGCTGCATTAGTGCTGGGCGGTATACCGTTTCATACTGAAAACAGTTTTTATTTTTGTTATGATATGAATTTTCTGAATACCGGTTTAAATAGCCTGAACACGTGCGGAATGTTTCGTCGCGGCCGCCAGTGAACTGTTTCCCTGGGGACATGTTTCCTTGCAGCACCGCTAAGCGCATTAGCATGCTAACATTGTTGGAACAACTGGCGGCAGGTGGTGTGCTTCAGCTGCTTATATGATCTGATGTAAAAAAAAATCCCGTTTTCACCATCGATGAATAGTAAACAAATCTTCAGTGACGTGCACGGTTAGATTTAACGCGCTGCGTTATAATGGAGACGTTATTGCATGGAGACTCTAGCGTGCTTCTGTTGTAAAAAGCCAGGGGGGAAGTAGTTTTGTAGAGAAGCGGAGTTGACTGGTGTGCAAGGTGAGTCGTCTTTTTAAGTTTTATTAACACGCAACGATAGACCAGATAATGATTTTTTTCTCAACCCTTCACAATCGGACCTAAATGCATGATTACTGTCTACAACCAGTCAAAGAAGAAAAGATGTACAAGAGGAGGGAAACAGTGATACAGAGGTACAGTAAAAGAAAACAGTCAATAAGCAAAGTTTGTACATTTTATTATCAGCTGAGCTGTGAGGGAAAAAAACTGTCAAATACCATGAAACCGGTGTAATTGTTGAAAATACCATGATACAAAATTTGGGTCATACCGCCCAGCTCTACGCTGCATCCCCTGTAACTATATGAATCATAATGTTTTAGATAAAAATTCCACCAACAATAACCTTACCTTTATTTTGCATCTCCAGATTGCTATTTTAGGCATTAAAGGGCCAATATTATGTGTTTCTCAGGCATATTTTTAAATACAATACCATAATAAAGTATATATGTCACTTTTAACTGTTATTAAAATGCTGTTTTATGTTTAAATAGAAAATAAACTTATCTTCTCATCACTTCCTCTTCTAAACAGTGAAATTGGCCTCTGTCTCTTTAAGAACCACATCCTGCTTCTGTCCCGTCCATTTCAGTGTGTGTGTGTGTGTGTGTGGGGGGGGGGGGGGGGTTGCGTGGGTGTGGTTTGTTTGGCCCGTGCACTATGATGCAGTTTACTTGGCATCTGAAAAAACATTTCTTTAAAGGTATTTTGAAACTGAAAAGAGCTCCACTGAGCGAAAAGTAGTGGATCTCAGCAGACAGTTAAGTTTCATTTTCACTTCTGCTCTGTTACTGCTGAGAGTCTGCAGGAGTCATGGGCGAGCTGTGTGTGTGTGTGTGTGTGTGTGTGTGTGT